TCTGTTGTGCATGGGGTTACCATGAGTTGGGAGCTGACTGATGGCAGCTAACAACAACAACAAGGAATACTATTTCTGTTCTCTATTATATCCTAGGCTGATTTCTCCGTAATTGCTTGCTTCTATCAGCATCAGCATTTTCCCTTTTGCCTCATCAGTGAGGAGGGACCTTTAATTAGCTAATAAATGCAAAAGAAAACTTCGTTTACCTATAGCAAAAGAGAAAAGGAAGAAAGGGCAACAGTATCAGGTGGGTTGAATAATCAGAATGTGAGCTTCGAAGTGGCTGGAATTCTGTCTTGTATCCCCCAAGCATAGAGCACACTTATAATGTGCCTGGTACATTGAAGAGACTCAACAAATACTCACAGAATGAATGAATTACCTGGGAATGATCTATTAGCAGAATAAGTCCTTTCACCACACTGACAGGGTCGCTAGATGCTGACAGCATTTTGGCCATCAAATCACTGTATCCACTGAAAAAGGTGACAGGTCTAAGCTGAACATCAAAAAGTATGGCTGACAGGCCAGCATAGGAGTCAAGGTCCTCCTCCCCCTCATCAGGAGTGGCTGCAATTAAGGCCTCCAGTCCTTGAGCTTCAATGACCACCTAGGGAGAAATCAATATAACATACAAGACACAAGTCATGGTACTTGATAGTGAGGCTCTGAGCTACAGCTAGAACTTCCCTAGGGTCAAAAATGGAAATATCTGAAGAATCTAGGAAAATAAAAACATAAGGTGAGGAGATTTTCTCCATTTAATCCTCACAAGTATTCTTTGAGGAACAAAACGATTTTATCCATTTTGTAGATGAGGAAATGAAGGCTCAAGTTCACCCAACTAGTAAATAGCAGAGGCAGGATCCAAACCCCTCTGTCTGACTCCAAAGTCCATGCATTTTTCCATTTTTATTATGTCATCCTAGAGACTCTAAGTCTCTCCAGGACTGTCACATAATGGACAGGAAAGACAGGAAATCAACCAAGCCATTTAAGTGCAATTGTCATTACACTGAGCTTGTGTGCACTGAGCCTGGATCTAGGCCTAAGGATCAAATGTTCAAACATGAACCCAAATGGCACTTTTGTAGGGCCTCAAAAAGGGAATGGAGAGGTGTTGGAACAGTCAGAGAGGACCTGAAGGTTACTTCTGTTAGAGAGTATGGTATTCTGTAAGCTACAACTCACACCATTCCGCGTCAAACTTTTTTCTCTCTAGCTAAAAAAAAAAAGATGATGAACACCACGAGGGGGCTCACACCCTGAACTCTACCATACATAAGAATCCTACTTATTTTCTGTCCTGCATACCCAGCGCCTTAACCACTGGGTGTTTTGCATTCTAAAGTGCGTATCAGAAAACAGATGGTGATTCCTCAGGACCGAGTGGCATGGTATTGTGACTATGGTCCTATCAAAGGGTAGAGTAATATAATATTGACAAGCATTCTAATTATATGGCACTGAATCATTTTTAAAGCTTATATATAACCTTATTTACAAGATTATAATTTGATATGTATAAAAACTACAAAGGTAGTATGTTTCATAGGAAACCTTTATAGATGTCACCTAATTTTCAATAAAACTAAAGGGATTGAAGTCAGCCACTTGTCCAGTGTCTGTATGTCTTTTCTTTCCTAGCAGTATTAGAAAAAAATATACAGACTGACTCTTCAGAGAGCCATATTCTATTTTGAAAGTTTTCACTATTGAGAGTCTCAATCTCTTCATAGAAATACCCAGAGAAGGAAAACATATTCTAGAATTAAATACTTGGTATCATGGATTGAATTATGACCCCAAAAATATGTGTCAACTTGGTTAGGCCATGATTCCCAGTATTGTGTGGTTGTACTCCATTTCGTGATTGTAATTTTCCTATGTGTTGTACATCCTAATCTCTCCCTGTTGTTAATGAGGCAAGATTAGATTATGTTAAAGAGGATTAGGGTGGAATTATAACACCCTTACTAAGGTCACATCCCTGATCCAGTGTAAAG